GCCGTCTCAAGATCGGATCAAAAGAGTAGGTCGGCATAGCTCAGCAATTTCCAACCAATGCCACCCCAACTGGACCGTGTCATGACCAAAGCTTGCTGCAAGAATTTGTCCAACACAGCGACTCAACAAATCTCAACTTCATGTGAGGCCAGCACCAGCCATGCTAGGGCAACCTTGTGGCTGCACCGACCACGGATGTGAATGACACTTCACCCAGAAAGCCTTGGGAATGTCACACTTGTGAGGGCCTCTTTGGGCATCAGAGAATTTGTCTTTGACGTCAATATTATTAAACGAGCAAAAGCACGATTGCTACACTTGCAATGCAGACGTATTTCGCAATCTGTCTATTTTTCCCCTACATGTGAAATCATGTGAATATGTTGGAAAAATGTTGTCAAATATAGACACGCATATTTACAAACGCTACGTAGAGACGGAGAGAGAGGTCTTGGCATGCAGTCAAACAGCAGATGTCATCGTACCGTCGTACAACAAACCAACATAAACCAACATAAACCGACAAATATATATTTATTACATATACAAATATCATCTTATCAAATATTAAAGAGAACATGAAATATCTGACACAGAAATATGCATGTGCACGGCCTTTCCATGTGCAAACGACCTCTTCTCTCAACACTTGGCGCTAGGTTCACCTTCCTGTGGCCCCGGACCACCTGGGCCTGCCCAAATCCGCCGGTCATCGCCCAGCATCGGGCAAAGCTCACGTCCAATGTGACACTGGGAGTCCAATTGAGTCAACGGACCTTTGTCATGACATTCGTGATGACCTTCCTGCATGATGATTTTCACAGCGAAATTATACTTCCATGATACCCTGGCGCATCTCATATTGGCGCCTTTCCGGTGCTGAAACAGCTACACAGTTGGTGACAGGACAAGCGCACCTATCCCATCCCAGGATCCTGCTTTGACTGCGCCCTCCACACAGACCTTGCTGGTTCATTGAACTGGGTCCCTATGGGTTACAGATGATTACAGTATCATATCCTAAAATGATCCCCAATAAATCAATAAAACATGAGATCCCACGACCCAGTGGCCCTCAGGACTTGGCGCACATTTTATCACTTTGATCACTCTGACCACTTGACCAGTTTTGTGACCGATTGGACCTGTTGACCATGGGCACAATATCTTTTACGGCCAAAAAAAGCAGGGAACTGAGGGAGAGGGAGTACCTCTACTGTATTCTCGTGCTTCCACGCCTTTCAGGACAACTGGAAGTTGCAGCAAATCTGTGCCAAAGCATCAAGCCGCAGTGCTATAGTATGAATTCCAGGTCCTTCTGCGAACCAGTGGCGCACCAAGCATTGCCTGCTTCGTGTCTTGAATTAAGCCAACCATCACAGCCGGCGGTGAAAACTGGGTGGCTACCAGTAGCCTCGAGGGCCTCGTCATGGCAAAAGTCCAACGGCCTCCGGACAAATCCTCCAGCCTGACTCTGTAACGGAGGCATCCGAGGTCCAAAACAAGGAAGAGCTGGGGATCACGCCATTGGGGCCCGTACCGCCCGAATAGGACTTGCAATCCACGTAGAGCTTATCAAAGCCCAACTCAGTGGTGAAATTCATCACCTCCAAGGGCATGGCCCCCTGAGGATTCACAGCCACCTTGCACTGCTGCGAATCGCCATAGGCTTCCGGAAAGCCGGGGCTCAGCAAACAATCGGAGGCATCGATGGTGCATTCACCACTCACCACCTTCCACATCTTGCCCTCGAAATCCAGACTGGAGAAATCCTCCTTGGTATCAGCAGCATAGACCTTCTTCACCTGGGCTGCGGAACAGCATGCAACGACTAAACGCTGCGTCGTGTAAACCTCTAAACTCTAATCTCTTCAACTCAAAATGTCTCAAGATGTCTCAATGTGTCTCAACATGTCTTACCTACAAGCAGCCAGCAAGAAGCAGCCAGTAGCCATCAACCTTGCCTTGTTCTCGATGGTATCTTCAATCCAACTGAGGACACTTTGCACTCGCCCATAGACACCTGGATAGCCTTCGTAAGCACAGCCCTGACCCCAGGACGTCACACCCCTCAGCACGTAGCGGTCGCTCGCCATCGTACCATCGGAGGTTTCAACTGTCTCTTTGCAAACTAATGGGCCTCAAGGGGTATTCCGGAGGGATAAGGGATGCGGCACTGCGCGTCAGGAGGAGTAGTTCATCTATATTCATGGTGAAATGTGACATGCATGTCATATCTTTCTGTTCCAACGCCATCAGGTCGATCATATGTGATATATGTAAATATACATGTATATATATATATAGCAACTGACTAAAACTTAGAATATCGCCACTTCTTCCAAAATGAGATACCCAAAAATTAAATATATCCACCAGGGGGCGTCCGCACATGGTCTTAGAACATAGGCCACCAACACAACTATAGTTTGGCTGGTGGCGATGTTCTAAGTTTGTCTCCGCAGTTGATTGCACGCGTTTTTTGTTATTTTTCCCGATT